GTATTAAATAGAATAATTGAAATTTTTTCTACTTTTTCTGGTTGAAGATAAAATAATTAAGTACTAGTGTTTATAAAAAGCAACAAATATAAAAGAAACAGCCGAATACAAAATTTACCAGCTTGCAGACTTAGCTATAGTCTGGGTTACTAGCAAAATTTTAGGCTGTGTATAAATACCAAATGTATAATCAATAACTGTATATGCATAATGTGACTGCGTTCACATATATTGTTGTTCTTTATGCAATGGTGTTTTTTTGTGTATGTGATGAAATTTAAAAAAAATAAAAAAAATGTATATGTAAAAAAATTAAAAAAAATAAAGAGTTAGTGCAAAATGCAAGTTGTTCACCAGACTTCTGGAAAAAGGCCTCAATACCTATATTATTAGGCAGCATCTTAAAAAATCTAATGGAATTTCAGCATTGCGTTTTTGTTGGAGTGCCAGGGATTTTTATTATACTGCAAACATTTTAATTTCCTTTAATACACAACCATATGCTATTCTCCTTATTTATCAACTGCCTCCCACATCTACACTTTATTTTCAGCCTCCCAAATCTCCTCTCATGTTTTTAACAACTCTCCAACCCTCTCCTATTCCATGTTCACTCTCTTCATGCCATCACCTTCTATCCAACTCTCTCTCCTCTCCTGTGTCATTGCTACTTCATAAAGCATGAAAGTACAATATCAACATTACACTAGCGTTGTTGTCACTTGATAGAACTCCTACTTTTATTGAGAGTTCTGTCTGGGATAATTTGTTCTGTGCACTTCACTGCAATCTAAACCTGACATGATACAGGCCACTGCATGTAGAGTAATGTATAACTAATGATAAGGAAGATTAGAACGGATTTACGAAGAGCAAGACCAGTACTAATCCTACTATCCACGATAAAGGCTGCAAATCCAATAGTAGATGTTAGTGCCTTAATTCATAAATAACTAAAAACTATTAGATTTTTTTAAAATCCCTAACTGGATAAATAAACGAAAAACAAAAAATGACTGTTAACAAAAAGTGCAAAAAAGAAAAACGAAATGTTAAAATAGGACCAGCTGCTGGAGTCTTATGATAGTTTTCAAAAGTAAACCACTTGAAATAAAGACACAAACGCTAGTTAAGTTAACCTAATACAATGTTGCAAAGAGTTAGCTGAGTAGCATAATGAAAACCACAGTGTTGTATGGAGTATACTATTGGATTAGCAGTTTTTATCACGGTAGTAGGATTAGTACTGGTATTGCACTTCGTAAATCTGTTCTAATCTTCCTTATCATCTTCACGTTGGGCTTTGCCCCAATTACCCTACATGCATTACAATTTGGGTGAAAGTTCTTTCTCTCACCGTCTTTGTATATGTCCTAATGTATAACTAATGCTATGTAATACCTTTATCTTTTTAAATGACCAGGTCTTTGCTGAATAAAGTCTACAGTTTGCCAGGTTTCTTGCCCTTTTTTTGTGGCAGTGGGATTATGCATAAGTAGTACTTTAATGGAAAATAAATAAATATATATAGTTATTTATTTGTGCCGATTTTTCCTTAGATACATCAAAAAATTATATTTAAAAAAAAAATAATAGTCAAATCCTTCACACAATGCAAAAAAAACCAAACCCAGAATCATTAACATTTTAAAATGTCTGCAATATAACTTTGGACTCTCCTTAAAATGGCTTCCAAGCATCTTAACCATCTTTGTTACTATAAGATTACGGTGACACCTTTCCATCTTTGTTCCTGATTTTTTTGGATAACTGTTTGGTGGATCTTCCCTAGCTCGAGAAATAGCTAAAATAATGCTTTGTTTCTGTGACTTAATAAAAATTCATATAACTGAAAAAGTTGTGAGTCTATAGCCTCAAAGTCTTATGAATCTCAGCAATAGAAACAGTGTCATATCTCCTAATAGCTACACACCCTTGTAATGAAGCCACATGAGGTTTGAATGTTGCATTCTTAATGATACATAATATAAATAAACACAAGACAACTTCTTTTATCCAACTTGTTTATTCAATATTGCACCTTGGAGAATGGCCGTGAACCTTTATTACAGATTTCATATTTCCACTTTAAACATAAAACCATAATTTTAAAACCAAACCGAAATATTAACCATTAAAACTTAACACCATTAAAACTTTCCAAGGCTCCGCCCCCCCACCAAAGCCAGGACCAATAAATTCCAAGGCTCTGCCCCCCACCAAAGCCAGGAGCCATAAATTCCAAGGCTCTGCCCCTCACCAAAGCCAGGAGCCATAAATTCCAAGGCTCTGCCCCCCACCAAAGCCAGGATTCATAAATATAAATAATAAAACCAATTTTATAAACCAAATCCACCCTCTTGTGATGCCCAGGTGGGTGACTTATATCCCATAATAAGGTCACGACAAGAAGGGAGGGTGGGTGGGAGCAGCAGCTCAGTTATATTTAAAAACCTTGATAGTTGTCTGGCACAAGCTGAGGTAAATAATTTGGCGCCTTTAAATTTATACTCATTTTCCCGCTGCTGCTTATCTTGTGCTGCGATCTACCAATCAGGGCTCTTGTCCTGATCACAACCTTCCTGCTCTGCTAATAGCGCGTGTAAGAAATGATGAATTAGAATCAAATTAGAAGGTAAATCAAGTTTAAGAAATAGAATGTAGATCTGTATGATTGACCTTTGGACCTTTAATATCAAAAGGAGATGTTACAAGTGCCATGTAAATCGGGAAAAACAAGGTGGTGTCATTTCCAGGACAAACAGTCTTTGATCTGTTAATGTAGATGGGACAGATGGGGTTATCCATTCCAAAATCAAAGGCCTATTGTCTTACTGTTAACAAAGCATACCTTAGAACAGGATTTTGGACCAGTTTGTTCATCCTGAGTTTCGTGTTATCAATAGGGTGTTAATAAGTTTTTCCCAACTTATATTTAAATAACAAATAGCTGCTATTGTGAACCACCTACATCAAACAAGAAATAAGGAATTTATTGTTGAGCTTTTGATCCTCCCAAACCCATCACATGCCCCCAAGATAATTTAGGTAGATGGAGGGAAGATATGGGTAAATGGAGGGAACAACTTCAAAGAGAAAAAGCTGTATAAATGTAGGCCCAAAATGGCTAGAGACAGAGCAGTTCTGGTAGGAACTTCAAGGAGTGACTACCAAGCAGAGGTCCAGGGGAGACTTCATTATACAGTTCTACACTCTGTTGGTAACTATATTTGATTGTGATACTTGGTTGATTCTTGTGATATTTGTGATGCTGTATTGTTTTATATCATTGTGTGTTGTTTGGTTTAACCCCACTATATTTGCTGTGTATTAGATTATAGAGCAGGTTGAGTTTTTGTCTATACTGTATATGTGCTGTGTATTATATTATAGAGCACATAGTTAATGCATTTACTGCTATATATCTATGAGTGGTCTTTGTTTTCTAGCTTGTATATGGACTGTGTATTATTCTGATGCAAGTTATTAATCAATATATATGTTGTGGTTGCTTAAATTGATTATTTGAAATATATTTGAGATATTGTATTTGTGGCAAGTGTTGTGATTATTCCATCCTTCTGTGATACACTGTGATTTGTATGTTATCAATTGTTGCTTTTTCTATGTCTAATACCCTTTTATTAAACCTGATGTATTACCAGTGAATTTATTATCTTTACACCCAATACATTTCTGTTATTACACTTGTCCGTCTGTTTTATTTGATGCACCTTCCTCAAAGAACAGGGACCCTGTGTGGAAGGGTAAACTGTAATTTCTTACAGCGTGCTGCCCTGCACCTATCCCTCAGTGCGCTCTTCTGCTGACCTAAACTCACCAATACTTACCCAACAGCCTCTGCTCCATCAAACCTCATGAGGCTTGCTCCTTATGCAGTCCGCGTGCCCAACAAAGTGTCATGTCTTCCTTGCCTGGGCACAAAAAAACATTTACAAGGGTTAAAATCTTAAAATGAAACACTAAACTCAAAGCCATGAAGGTTGCCTGGTACAGAGTGATGCTACTAATTTTTTATAGAGAAGTGCAAAAAGTGAGTCATTTTCCATGCAATGCCATAGATACGTTGGTTAGTCGGTGTAATGTTCTACACCATCAGAATATTCCCTAAAGTCAGAATTGTCAGGAATTAAACTTGAATGTCAAATTGAAGGCCAAAATAACTGCATGTTGTGCAAGGGCATGTGATCACCATAAGCAGGAAAAGTCCAGAAGAAATTTAGTCAGGATGGCAAGAGAAGGCCAAGTGGGCGAAGGAGATTCCAGCGACACAGGTAATGTAACACTATTATAACAAGGATCTACTTGGGTTTTTCATTATCAATTGAAACCAAATATGTGACTCTGCTCTAGATTGACAATGAAGTAACAAGCTTCGCCTCTAGTCCCTTGTTATATGAGTTATATGAGGTGGATAGTTTACTTTAACAATGAAATTCTTTTTTTTTTCAATATCTTAATTTTTATTAGTTTTTTGTGGTGTCGCGATAGCGACAAAAAAAAGAGGGATACAGAAAGGAAGAAGGGGGAGGGTAACGTTGTATAGACACAATCAAATATTACAGTACATATATAGTGTATGGCTAACATTGTATAGTGATTTGGGTTTGATCCAAGTTAGTCTAGGCACGACAAAGTGTATCAGGTATTATCGGACCTGTCTTGGGGGCCCTGTTGATACTTGCTTGTTTAACCTGCATTATTGATGGGATGCGGTGGAGCGCCCTACGGCCCTAGTCATTTGAGGACCCTTAGACTGCAGCGTTGGGTGGTAATCTGTTGGAGGAGTTTAGATGTCTGCGAGTGCTCACCTCGCGAGAGATTGGGTATCGTTTGTTGACGTCATCTACAACCTGCCAAAAGCGATGGCTCACCCTCTCCCATTCATCTCGCTACCTGCCTGAGTGTACTGCACTCCAGCTGAGCCATAGTTTTGTGTGTTTATCCTCACTGGATTGTAATCGGAATGCTAGTCTTTCGTGGTCATAAGTCGAGTGGACTCTATTTTTCACCTCCTGAATGCTAGGGGGATCTAAACTTTTCCATCTGCTGGCTATGCTAGTTTTTGCAGCTAACAATATGTGATATATAACTGTCTTGTGGGGGGAGGCCAGTGTACCTGTGTGAATATGTAGAAGATAGCATTCCGGGCGTAGTGGAATGATAAGTTCTGTCACCTCCTTTATCAGTGACCTGACCTGTTGCCAAAATTGTGTCAATTTGGTACATTCCCAGAAGACATGAAGCAATGTGCCCACTTCGTCACCACAGCGCCAACATGCCCGCGGGACAGCTGGGTATAGCTGGGCTAGGCGAGAAGGTACAAGGTACCATCTCATCAATAGTTTACAAAAGCTCTCCCAGTGGGACATGTTATGTGAGGAGGCACGCGTGTTTTGGATCACCTGTAGCCACATCGGTAGGGGGAATGTGTCTTTCAGATCTCGTTCCCATTTAAGCATGTAACCGTGTTTAGTGGTACTGTCCACATCATTAATTGCTGAATAGCACAAGGAGAGGGTTTTGCCCAAGGATTGGGTGGAGATGCAACGTCGCCCAAATGTAGTGAGGTGTTCTATCTCACTATGCTGTATGTTTAATGATGATAGGGCGTGCTTGATACGCAGATATGTGAATATCTCCCTGGGGGCTAACGCATACTCGGCTTGTAGTTCAGGGAACTGTTTTATGCCTTTTGGTGTTAACAGGGACTCTACCGAAGTGATCCCCTGTGTGATCCACGTTTTCAGCGAGAGATTGCTAATTAGGTCTTGTAAGCTGGATATAGGGGCAAAGAAGATGGGATGGGCTTGACCCATGAGATCTCTCGCCCATCTTCTCCAGCTAGCTAGCATAAAGTTGGTGGTGTTCAGTCCCTGTGTGGTAGATTTCGTGGAGGCACATGGAGACCATAATTTTTGCGTTATCGTGGCCGGGTGCAGGCATGCAGTCTCCAAGTGCAGCCACACTGGTGTGTTGACCCTAGTAAGGGCCTCTAATCCTTGGGCTAGTACTGACGCCCTATAGTAACCTTTTATGTCGGGGATCCCTATTCCACCTTTGTTTGGAGATAGCCAGGTAAGTCTACGGGTGATTCTGGGAGGTTTCTTATTCCAGATGTATGAGTTAAAAATGGATTGGAATTTTTTAAGGAGTGTATCTGGTAGTGCTATGGGTAGGGTGCGGAACAAATACAGTACATGTGGAAGTGCCATCATTTTGATCGTCTGGATTCTCCCTAGCCAGGAAATGTCAAGGTGTTGCCATTTATCTAGCATTGTTTGCAGTTTACGTGTGAGGGGTATGTGATTTTCGCGTGTGAGTCTAGTGTGCGATACTGTTAGGTTGACCCCCAAATATTTTAGGGATGTAGCCCTCCAATCAAAGGGGAATGTTGTCCTTAGACTACTTATCGTTGTGGGGGAAAGGCCGAATGGTAGTACCTGGGTTTTGGTGGTATTGTTCTTGTAATAGGAGACCGCACCATAAAGAGATAGCAGGGATGTCAAAGCCGGGATGGATTTATCGGGGCGTGTGAGGAAGAGTAAGATATCATCCGCGAATAGTGTTAGTGTTTGGGTACCCGCTGGTGTGGTAAGTCCCGAGATCTCTGTGTGTTGTTTAATGCGGTATATAAGTGGTTCTAGACAAAGGATAAAAAGCAGGGGAGACAGAGGGCATCCTTGTCTCGTTCCGTTACTGATTGTGAAGGATTGTGACAAAAAACCAGTGTTAAAAACCTTAGCTGACGGTGCACTATATAATGCCATAATACTCCCTAGGAAGGTATCTGTAAAACCCATTTTCAGTAGGGTAGCCTTCAGGTACTTCCAATTAAGTCGGTCAAACGCCTTTTCAGCGTCGAGTCCCAAGATCACCCCATGTTGGTTGCTTGTCCCCGCCCAATTTACCAGGTTCAAACAGTGACGTGTGTTGTCTCCCACTTGTCGTCCGGGAACAAACCCAGCTTGTTCTACTGATACTAAGTCCGTGAGGAGGGGTTTCATGCGGGATGCGAGTAGTTTAGCGTAAAGCTTAGCATCCGCATTAAGAAGCGAGATTGGTCTTAAATTCTCGCATTTGGTGGGCGGTTTGCCCGGTTTGGGAAGTGTGATAATATGCGCTTCAAGCATTTCTTTTGGCATGGTCCCTGTCGATTTAATGTTATTAAAAAGTGTGGTTAGGAAAGGTGTTAGAGTCTTTGCTAGTTTAATGTAGTAGTAGTTTGAGAATCCGTCTGGACCTGGGGCCTTATGTTTCGGGAGGGATGCAATAGTTTTTGCGACCTCGTCGTCTGTGAATGGTCGGTCGAGTGCTTCTTTTTGTGCTTGTGTCAAGTGAGGGAGTTCGATGTGGCTGAGGAATTCATCTATGGAAGCATGTGTCGGTTGGGGTGTCAGGGGATCGTCTTTTAAATTATATAGATTGGAATAGAAGGACGCCAGCGTGTTTACAATGTCATTAGGGTTATATAATTTGGAAGCTTGAGAAGTTTCGATAAAGGGGATTTTCGTCTGGAGACGCTGGGCTTTTAACTTATTAGCCAATAGTTTACCTGCTTTGTTGCCTTGTATATAATGTTGCAATCTAAGGGCTCTCATGTTCCTTTCGATTGTCTGTAACGAAATAGCGTTTAAGTTCCTCTGCAAGCGCGCTACATTTTTAGCTAATTTAGTGGACGGGTTTTGTTTATTGTGTTTATCGGCCTCTGCCAGTTCGAGGGTTACCCGCCTTAACTCCTCTTCGTGTTTTCTTTTTTTACGGGACCCGATTTGGATTAGTACCCCCCTGACCACGGTTTTGTGAGCTGCCCATTGAGTTTGTATAGGGATTTCCTCGGACATGTTTTCTTTGAAATAATTGGTTGCGGATTCAAGGATCTTTTGCAGCGCTGTGGGATCGTCCAGAAGACTTTCATTAAGTCTCCATTTTCCTCTCCCGCGGATTGGGTATAGGCTGCTGAGGGTAATCGTTACCGGGGCATGGTCTGACCACGTCCGCAGCCCTATATCTACTTCAGTTATGTTTGTTAAGGTTAGTTTGTCTACCAGTGTTAGATCAATGCGTGAGTAGGTTGAGTGAATTGGTGAGAAATATGTATAGTCTCTGCCTGTTGGATAAATGTTACGCCAAGCGTCATACAGGTCTAGTTTGAACATAATGTCGGACAAGGTTTTGCCATTATGATATGCGTAGGTGGACGCTTTCTTATTATTCACCCGTTTTATGTCCAAATTGGGGTCGAGGCTGCAATTGAAGTCCCCACAGATTATGACCTGTCCTCGTTTCATTGAATCTATCTTGTTAAGTGCATTGCGTAAGAATGGGAGTTGGCCGTCGTTAGGGGCATAAAGGGACGCTAGGGTTATTTCTACACCATTGAGTGAGCCCACCAAAACCTGGAGGCGTCCTGCTGTATCTGCGTAAGTGTCACTTGGTTGAAATGCCCAGTCCGCATGGAATAGAATGGAAACCCCCTTGGACTTGTTTGGGGAATATGCGTGGAAGGCTTGGGGGTATCGCTTAGTTTGGAACTTGGGGGGGTTGTTAACGCACAGGTGAGTTTCTTGGAGACATATCACTGCAGCGCGTGATTTGTGCATATCCCTAATTGCTAGACTACGTTTGTATGGGCTGTTCAGTCCTTTGACGTTCAAGGAGAGGATTTTAAATGTAGTTTGAGTCATTTTATGGTAAAAACTATATGCCTTTTGAGTGTACTCGAAACTGTGGTATTTATAGGAGTGGGAGACCTGGTCTTTTTAAAGCACTGGGCTAGTCTCATGAGCAGAGTACTATATACGACCCATTTTGGTTTGTGTCTAAAAGGGGGGTGGGAAGGAAGTAAACTAGGGAAGAATTGGGGAACCAAGGGAAAAAACAAGCCATCCCTGCTGCCTGCAGGATTTATCTCCGAATCCGAGTGATGGAAAGCCACACTCTTCATCGGCAGGGGGAACGTGGAGTCGTCTCCACTGTTGGTGGCCCTATGGAATATTAGTGAGAATGAGCACCTTGTGGGTAACCAGTGTTTGCTCTTCTGGGTTGGACCGAGGCATGTTATCAAATGGGGTGATATATATTTTTCATTTTTCCTTTTTTTTTTTTTATGCAGAGTTGATAATATTGGAACATTACTCAGATTGTAGTATTTGCTGTTTTGTGGCTTATGCGTGGTTTGTGGTCCCTGCCTGTAAATCTCGTGGGGGGAGGAGGTTGCATCCCGGGTGTGAGTCTAACGTTCCTTGCTTGGAGCTGTTTTGCTAGTACACCTAGTGGAGTTTCCTGGGGGTACACGAGGCTCCAATAGGGTCCCCCATCACTTGAGGGATCTGGCTCCTTACACTGTTCCCCGAGTGCTACAGCTTATATGACTAGCATATGTTCCCCCCTACCCACCTTCTAGTATATGCCTGGTCTTGAATGGATCTGATGTACTTTTACAGACTGGAGTATGAGTTAATAACATTGGCATTTCACCGGATAGGGGTAATAAGGCGAAATACTTGTTGTATGGTAAGTGGGTTGTTGCGCTCAGCGGAAACAAGGGAATGCTGGGGGATTGTGAATCTCCTCTTATAAAGCAAAATGATTAATGCCCAACCAAGTGAGGGATTCAGTATAGGCTGTCTGTGATCTAACCAGTTGATCATACTAGCGTAAACCCACCCATGAAACTTAATAAAACATTGCGCCTTAAACATAACATTTGGCAATACTTATGTGCCGAGCGTGCCGACAGTCTCCAATGAAGTGTTCATATTAGTCCCGGTTTTGCGAGGCAGCATCAGCCCCAACCATCCTCCACTCTGGCAGGAACTTCTGCGGTGAGTTGTGGGTTGGAGCGGACCTCCCTTGCGCATGATGTAGACCCCACTCTTTTAGCTTCTCCATACCTGCCTCCGGTTCTAGGATTGTGACGGATCTGTCCCGGTACCAGACCAGCAGTTTTGTGGGGTATCCCCACCGATAGGGTATGTTGTGGTTCCGGAGAGTCTTGGTCACATTCACGAATTCCCGCCTCCTCGTCATCGTTGTTGCGGAGAGATCAGCGTATATTTGGACATTCTGATACGGTTCGGGAAATTTGGCAAGTTTTCTTGCTGCGTTTAACAGTTTCTCTTTGGCGGTGTAATAGTGGAATCTTGCAATGGTATCTTTAGGGGTGTTATCTGTGAAGCGAGCTGGTCTCGGGAGTCTATGGACACGGTCCAGCTCCCATGCGGTATCATCCACCTGTGGGACCAATAGCTTGCAGAGGGTTTTGAGGTGGAGAGGTAGAGCCTCATTAGTGACAGCGTCGCTAATGCCCCTAAAGCGCAAATTATTCCGCCGTGATCGGTCTTCAATGTCTGCCAGTTTGAACTTAAGGGACTTTTGTTCTTCTTCTAAGCTTTGCAGTTTGTCCACCAGATCGTTGTGGGCTGCACATATCTCCTCCGTTTTCGTTTCTAGGTGGCTAGTGCGGCCTCCCAATTCAGTGATCTCCTTCCTCAGTTCGTTGGTGTATTGGCGGAGGTCAGCTCTGAGCGAGCCCTTTAGTGCCTGCAGCATCGCATGAAGGCTCTTGTTGGTGACCAGTTCTTCATCAGGTGTTGGTGGGTCATATTCCAGGGCCTCTTGGCTTTCTGGTGATGTCGGGCGAGCAGCATGGCCGTCGCCATCTTGCTCCGGCCTCGTTTTATCTTTTTTGTTTTGCCTCACCGGGTCTGTAATTTTTGTCTGCTTGGAGGGTGCCATAGCGTTCTTGGGCACTGTACCCACTGTTGTTGCTCGTTTGAGTCCGGGTTTCCGTGGCTAAAATGTCGCTTTGGGCCTAGTGGAGCACGGAGCGGTCTCTACATGCGACTTCTCCTTTCGGCAGTTGGCCACGCCCCCAACAATGAAATTCTTAAGATGTTGTAATGCCAACACAAACAGGGTTATTGGCTACAGTGAGAATTATTGAGCGTTCAGAGAAAATTCAAAGGGGATTTCAACTTGAAGTTTAAAGTAGTCTAAATATGAGCATAACTGACTTGGGGAGTTTTTCCAGTTTGGCTATCTTAGCCTTACATTTGAAATTCTCTTTGAATTCCCAACAATTCTCACTTTAGTGAATAATCCTAAAATTCTATACCATCCCTGCCTAGTGATAACCTAACGTCCTAAATACAAATTTCAGAGCAGTATATTTGTAGACAAAAGAAATCAACTTGTTCTCTGTCTCATTGCAGCGTGACTGTTAAATCTATTTCATATTTCAGTAGATTTGTTTCAGATATTGACACTAAGTTCCAGTGCTTCTTTATACGCCTTTTTTTTTTTTTACATGTTTTAACCCTTTAACCCTAAACCAGGGAATTTTGATATGTTGTTCAGTCTTTTTTTTTTTTTTTTTTAAAGGGACACTATAGTCACCCAGACCACTTCAGCTCAATGAAGTGGTCTGGTTGCCAGGTCCCTCAGGTTTTAACCCTTCACATGTAAAAATAGCAGTTTCAGAGAAACTGCTATGTTTACATTGCAGGGCTAATCCAACCTCTAGTGGCTGTCTTCCTGACAGCCGTTAGAGGCGCATCTGCGACGCTGGATGTGAAAATCGCATCCAGCGTGCAGAACGTCCATAGGAAATGCTTTCCAATGGACTGTTGGTGGGGGGAGGGAGGGGTGGAGCTGATGTTGGTGGGGGGAGGGAGGGGTGGAGGAGAGGTCACCAGCTCCGTGGTAGCCTGGTGCTGGATAAAGGTAAGCTGCTGAGGGGGCACCATAGTGTCAGGAAAACGGGTTTGTTTTCCTGACACTATAGTGATCCTTTAACATTCTTTATTTTTGCAGTGCTGAGCTGAACATACAGGCTTGTAGTACAGATCAACAAGAGTATATGTATGGCAGGAATGGTTATGAATACGTTATGACATGTGGAAAATGCTGCACTTTTTATAAAATATGCTTAACAGGCAGTGGCGTACACATGATCCATGGGGCCCCGGTGCGAAAATTGATCAGTGGGCCCCCCTCCCTCCCCGGTGCTTACTCTGCACGGGCTAGGGCCGCTACACATGGTGGCGGACACCTGGTCGCAGGGCTCCGACCCCTGCGATTGTGGTGTGCATGATAAACATACACTTAAAGGACCACTATGGGCACTCCGATCACTTCAGCTCAATGAAGTGGTCTGGGTGCCAGGTCCCTCTAGTTTTAACCCTGCAGCTGAAAACATAGCAGTTTTAGAGAAACTGCTATGTTTAACTGCGGGTTAATCCAGCCGCTAGTAGCTGTCTCACTGACAGCCCCTAGAGGCGCTTCAGCGATTCTGCTGGACGTCCAAGGGAAAGCATTGAGTAATGCTTTCCTATGGGTGGTTTGAATGCGTGAGCGGCTCTTGCCACGCATGCGTATTTGGAGCAGAGAGGCGGGTCAGGGCGGAGAGAACCCCAGCGCCAAGGGAGCCTGACGTTGGAGAAAGGTAAGTGCTGAAGGGGTTTTAACCACATACACTCTCTCACGAACAGACACATACACACTAGCTAACAGACACACACTCAGAGACAGACACACATGCACACTCACTGACAGACACACCCACAGACACACACACACACACACTCAGTAACAGACACAAACTAACACACTCAGTAACAGACACAAACTAACACTTTTTTTAAATTTAATCCCCCAGCCTCCCTACCTTTGGGAGTGCTGAGGGGATCCCTGGGGTCCAGTGGTGCTGCCCGGAGGCCGGTCCTGCAGGTGGCAAGGGAGCACTGAGCTTTCCTATGGACGGCAGTGTCTTCTCACTGTGAAAATCACAGTGAGAAGTGCGGAAGCGCCTCTAGCAGCTGTCAATGAGACAGCCACTAGAGGCTAGATTAAGCTGAAGTGGTCTGGGTGCCTATAGTCCACTAAACAGCAACTTTGGTGCTGACAGATATTTTTAGTTTTTTTTAAAAACACCTAATCTAGGCCCAAAAAATGCCTAGATTAGGTGTTTAAAATAAATAAATAAATAAACCCATTATTTTTTGCCTAGATTATGTGTTTTTAAAAAAACCTAAAAATATTTGTCAGCCCCGAAGTTGCTGTTTAGTGGACAAGAGAGTGCGCTGGATTTTCTCTTTTTTATTGAATAAATTGGCCACCAGCAGCACCCTATTTATGCATGATCAGGTGAGTACAGCCAGCCCCCTGGTTTCTCATATACATATATTTGGGAGTCTAGCCAACTCCTTGGTTTTGTGCCCCTCCCTGTCACAGGTGCCTCATCCCAGGGCTCTATTTAGCCTTGTACTGCAGAGAACTCCAGATGGAATCCCCCCAAGTAAGTAGTTTATGAAGCAGGCATTAGGCTGTTAGAGTAGGACCTGCCAAAGATGGGGTACATTGGTGTTGTGGCAGGCTTATGCAATGTATGATCATATACTGTAACTAAACCCCCATTAT